ATTATTCATGATGGCCCAAAGTTCAGGGCCCATCAAACAGCACTGATAAGCAATCTGCGGTAAATTCATATTCTTCTAATCTCTGAGAAGCATTGCTGTTAGAGGGGCAGCTTCTGCTGTGGCTGGAGCTTGGAGTGGGAGCTGCATGGGTGTACACACGATGGGAAAATGCCTCCACTTCCATGCAGCTCTGTTAAAAAGCAAAAGTTAGTTTTAATTTAAAAATTAAAGCCTTTAAAATTAAACCTTTAATTTTAATTTTAAAGGTTTACAAAAATATACATTTGCAGATATGGTAATCCAACAGCCCAGCTTCCAGGGATCTGTTCGTGAATCTGTTACAGTTACCTGCAGTTTATATATAGAAATCCTTCCAATAAAGGTGGATAAGAAAGATGTTTCCTCACTCTTATGCAAAACCACCCGAGGTCAGCAGTCCAGTACCGTTTCCTTCCATCCATCACCCACACTCCCAGGCAGGTAGAAGGAAGCAGAAGGGCCGAGGAGACACATTTCCTTGAAAGACCTTTCCGCTGAACTCCCAGTTCCAACTTCATGGGATGCCGGCGAATGGTGTTTCCCACTAAACCCAGTAATCCCAGGTCTCCTCTCTGAAGAGGCAGGAGAGGACAGGTGCTGCTGGGTGAGCCAGGAGTCCCAACCTGAGCCCCACAGACAACATTCTCAGGTTCTTGAGACCCAGCACATGCCCTTTCCATCTCCCCAACCCAGGGCTACTCCTTTAGTTGTCCGGTTGTTCCGACTGGGAGAGACGAGGCTGGAGGCCAGCACCTGCCCCCACTACTCTGTGGGCCCAGCTGTGGGTGCTTCCAGCTGGAGGAAAGCATGCCTTTCCCCATGGGGCTCAAAGGCACCCTGACCCTCTTCCCCAAGGACTGCGCCCTCTAGCCTCGCCTCTGGCTCTTCTGGGATCATATCCCAGTCTTTGCCATGGCCAGTAGTGCAAGCCACATACCACCCAGTTGTGAGCAGCCCTCCATTGCCAGCTTGCTCCCTCTGGTGCCCAACTCCAAACCCCCTTTAGGCCTAGCAGCCCCACAGGCCACTGATTCTGTCACCCTCCACTGTCCTGAGCACCTCCAACACCTCCCCTCCTTCCCTGTCAAGCCTTACAGCCACTCTCCTGCACACAGCTGGGACCCCACTGTCCCTCTCTTTCTTCATCACACTTGCAGGCAAACACTTGCCTGACCACGCCGGTCAAATCCAACTCTTCCTGCTCAGCACCTGAGTGTGGCCAGTGAACAGCGCACAGCCCTGCAGACTCACCCTCTGGTGCCCTAATAGCTAACCTGATTCCCTGACCTGATCTCTAACACAACCCCTAACTCCATCCCTAACCTCATCCTTAACCTGATTCTAACTCCTTAACTGGGTTGTTACTGTTGCCTGGACATCACACCCCATTTCTCTCAATTTTTGTCACTGTGTAAACACGAAGTGACTACGGAAGGCTATGTATGATAGGTGAGGAACATAGGGAAGAAAAGGACCCCCCCCTTCAAATGAGAGAAGAGAGAAAGAAAAAGGCAAAAAGAGTTAAAACGAATCATCTGTGCCAGGATTCTGCACACTTGGACTGTCTCATGAAGAGACCATCCACCTGGCATTAACGGTGTGCGTGGCAAGCTGGTGGGATGTCAGACTCCGACTTATTTCCTTATATTAACTTTTTATCAACTTGTTGTTGGTCACAACAAGCACATGTTCTTTAGCTAATCAGAAAACCCAATAGTTACTGTGGAAAAATGAATTTCTCTAAACTCCACCCTGCCTGGGCTGTAGAGAGCATCACAGATGGTGCCCAGAAGAAAGACACACCCCTCCACACCCCTCTATGGAGACCCTATTTTTTTTAGGGGGGGACAGTGGGAAGGCCTTTTTAAAAATGTGATATTTAAAACATACAAATATTTTTTTTATTTTGGTATTATTAATCTACAATTACATGAAGAACATTATGGTTACTAGACACCCCCCCATCACCAAGTCCCCCCACAACTCCCATTACAGTCACTGTCTGTCAGTGTAGCAAGATGCTGTAGAATCACTACTTGTCTTCTCTGTGTTGAACAGCCCTCCCTGTGCCTCCCCCCCCCTATTATACATTCTAATCATAATGCCCCCTTT